AATCTATTCCCCGTGGACACGCACAACCCACACCTCTCCTGCATGAGCGTGTTCGCCTCACCCCAATCATAAAAATAATCTATTCCCTGTGGAAAATAAGTGTATCAAGGAGAATCTTCAAGTCATCATTAGTTTCCCGTCCCTCTGGAGAGAAGCCCTGCTGACGTTCTTCTCTCCCCATTTCCTGCGCTGTATGGTTTGAATGCGGCATGACAGAGTCGTGCCCCAGCACTCCCAGGCTTCCGTGGCCAAGCTCCAGCAGGAAACACTGCCCGTGGTCCTAGCTGCACTTCTAGCCAGCAGCTCTCCGCACAGCACGTCATAACGCGGCCATGCTGCCACCCGGGAGCAGTGGGTCCAACTCTGCCATGGTACCTGTGCCAGAACAAGTGCTCCATCTCTCCGCCTCATCTCCAGCCATGCCCAACCATGGAGGACAGACTCTTGGGCACTGCCTGCTCCCCTAGCCCTGGGCAGGCCTCAACCTCGTGTCAGCCACCATGCTTAGCCGTGAGGCCATGTGAGGAAGGCAGGGCTACAGCGAGGGAGGCCTGGACGCAGCTCAGCACCTGGGCTTCCCGAGAAGGGACAGCCAGGGCAAAAGAGACAGGACTGGCCACGGCCAAGGAAGGAGCCACACAGCAGGGCCCTCCCCAGACTCACTTTTCTCCCTGAAAGCATAGGTAGGAGGCAGGTGGGAAGGCCAGGTCTGCACCCGTCCCCTGGCTGCCACTCCCCACTCAGCCTGCTCCAGCTGCCCTCCACTCAGACGTCCCCCGGGGCTGATATGTACATACCGGTGGTAGTGTGTACAGCTCTCATCCACACCAGACAAGCCCCATCAGCCGCACAAGAGAGCTCGCAAACGGCAGCTAGCATTACACAGGCTACCAGGCAGGACTCACACTTGCTGGTGAGCAAATGAGTCTTACAATGTTGAGAAAGAGGGCAGGGAAGCTACGAAGCCACAACACATTTAACCAACTGACAAAGCAATGAGGCAGTGACAACAGGAGAAAGACTGGAAGCCAGGCACCGAGTGCGGCATCCGGACCCAAGCTTGCTGGTGTCACGCGGCACGCACCCCCCCTCCCCCCCGCTGCCCACACTGCCTGCCTTCAAGATTTCTACTGCTAAGAGTGGTGGCTCACGCCTGTAATCTCAGCACTCTGGGAGGCTGAAGCAGGCGGATCACCTGAGGTCAGGAGTCCAAGACCAGCCTGGCTCACATGGTGAAACCCTGTCTCTACTAAAAATACAAAAATTCGCTGGGCAAGGTGGTGGTGGTGCGCATCTGTGGTCCCAGCTACTTGGGAGGCTGAGGCAGGAGAATCGCTTGAACCTCGGAGGCAGAGGTTGCTGCAAGCTGCGATTGCACCACTGCGCTCCAGCCTGGGTGACAGTGAGACTCTGTCTCAAGAAACAAATAAACAACAAAGGAACAACAAAACAAATTTTAAAAAGATTTCTCCCAAGAATTTGGTGCTGCTTAAGAAAGCTGGGAAGGATTCTTTTCCTCTGCTCTACATCCAGTGGATGAGGAAGTCACAGCAGACAGCACTTCAGCTCTCCATAAATACCTGATCAGCGTGCGTGAGCTCAATGAGACCCACTAGGTAAGACCCGGAAGACCCCCCGAGGCCCTGACACGACAGCCAACACCAGCCTGCAGAGCTCCCCCACTCGAGGCCCCTTCTGAGCGCCTCCTGCCACAAGGCAGAATTTCTAAAGGACGCAAAGCGTGCTTAGTCTTTGCTCCGCCTGTGCGAGGGTCTCACATGAGCAGGACAGAAAGCCTTTGCCATTGGACCATGAGGCAAAGGGGCACAACCACCCTGTCTCGTGCGGAGGAACCCACACAGCGTCCACGATGCTAGCACATTCCAAACTGTCACCAGGAAAGGCAAGGCCTCTCTGGACGCCCCTCAGCTGCTTTCAAGTTCTACACAGGAACGGGGCCTTTCCAACTCCAGGCAGGCCCCACCTCACCATGGCGCTTACGCCACTCAGGCACAGGGCAGAGCTCCGAGCAGCTGGCACGCTGCAGACAGGAACCCCGTGTTTCCAGTGCAAGGCAAAGAGGCCCTGCCCAGAATGCGCCACAGTTACGCAGGATGTGAGCGTGAAGGAGGCGGGGGAAGGGCTCACCAGGGCCACGGTGTCTTCACAACTCTTCTGTGTTAAGTCTCGTGCTATTTCAAAATAAAACGTTTAAAACCAAAACAATGCAACAGGGGCACGCACAGCTCAACACTCGTGCGTATCTGCTGGTGCCCTCTGGAAAGCCACGCAGGCTGAGGGTCAGGGACACTCACTGACAGCCACACACTCCTTTCAGAGTCTAGAACGTGCTCCAAGCCAAGTGCAGGCGGCAACTCGGCCTCTTTGAGAGGGCGAGAGTGCCGGTCCACGTCACCAGGGCTGTGCCGCCAGCTCTGCCCCAACAGACTTGATGTTGGCTTCCCCAAAGGTGCCCATACACGACACCCAGCAAACGCTACCCGGCACCATTTGGTGCTCCGCGCTGACAGAAGAGGCCGGGACAGAAGACCACATGGGGGCATGGAACAACCAGGAAGGCTGGCTCCATGCGGCAGCTCTCTCCCTCCCACAGCAGGGCTCCCAGGCCTCAGGAGCCACAGGGAGGATGTGCCCAAGGAGGTGTCAGCTGCGTTCCCATCTGAGCGGGACTCACATTTTTGCTAAGCACAATAAAATTTAATCACTAAAAAAAGGACACAAATTCCAAGACACATAGTAAACAAAAGTTCTGAAGTTTTATTATCAGGTTCAGACACTAAAATTATAAGGAAGAAAACACTGCAGAACGCACATGTTGTTCAGCCGCTGCGTGCGCCAGCAGAGCCATCCAGGCCCTCAACAGCAACTTTAACCTTAACCGCCCGTCGCAGACACTGAGCGAGGCTCCGGCGTGGCCACTGCTGCAGGTTTCCGCGAGACCCTCATGCCGGCCCCTCCCTCGGCCAACTGACTGCTCGAGCCACGGCACAGCAGCGCTCAGCAGAGGCGAGTGTGGGCAGTCTGCATGCCAACAGAGAAGCCCCAGAGACAGTGGCAGGGCTAGCTCACAGGCTGGGGTGCCCACTGCCAACTTTCACCCACAGAGGAAGCAGGCGGTGGTGCTGTGACACTCATCTCCAGGCCATCATCAGGCCACCGTTGGTATCCAGACCCTATAGTCTACATGCTGAGGTCGTAGTCGAATTCAACTATGTTTTGATGAAGAAACCAGTTCAGGATCCGGCACACCTGTGGGGTGCCCCTAATGGAACCACACAACACCAGGGGTGAGGACCTGCCTTCCTCATGAGGGACATGGCCGGTACCCCATGACACCAAGGCCACACTGGGCTACAGAGAGCTGTCAGCCACTGCTGACAGCCTCCCCAACAGGCACTGCCAGCTTCGGAACATCCGTCCCCGGTCTGTGCCTGACCTGAACTTCTTTGGGCAGTGTGGCTCCCCTGCTGACCCTGACCTCCAAATGGCCAGCCCCAGCCTTCACTTCCCGTAAACAGACCCAACCTCCCTGCCAGTGCTCTCAGGGCCCAGTCGCTACTCCTCAGGCCTCCCACGCCTCTGTGCAGGCTCCTCCCACCTCCCTGCCTCTGCTCCTCCTCCGGCGCTGGCCCAGGGCTATCCAGTCTGAGTTCAGGATGAGCACAGCAGCCCCTCTCCTGCAGGGCGGCTGCTGACCCAGACAGCAGCTCCTCCCCACACCCACTTCCCCCAGAGAAGCCAGGCCAGTCCCGGGAAGCAGCGCCTCCTCTTCTGGGGGACCCAGCACGTGACTCCGGCTCTAAAAGCTCCCACACTGGCCTGGGCTGGCTGGTTAGCAACAGCTCCTTCACAGGCTCCATAAAGGGCATTTGGTGAACGAGTGAGTGGAATTTCAGAAATGCGGAAGACTAATTCAAGCCAAATTATCACTCAACAATGAGGACAAACTGAAGTTACTTTTAGATATGCAAGGCTGAAAGCTGAGCACCCATAAACCTTTCTGGGAGGAAAATTACTCAGAAATATTGCTCAGTGATCAAACACAATAAATCCACGGAGAAAGACAATGTAAGACACAAGAAACAGCAC